AAAAAAAAAAAAAAAACCAAAAAAAAAAAAAAACAAAAACAACACAAAAAAAAAAAAAAAAAAAAAAAAAAAAAAAAGAGAGAAAAGCTTGAAGCTCAGCTGTCCTGGAGGCAGAGTTTTCTGAGGAGGAAATGCTTTGCTGTCAGTTGATGCCCAGGGCTCAGAGCTGTGTGAAACGTTTGCTCTAAGACTCAGGAGCCAGAGGCTTTCTTGTAAAGATTTGCAAAAACTTTGAGAGGCTCTGCTCTGGGCAGCTCTGCGTGCATCCTGCAGCCCTGAGTGCAGATCCACACCACAGCAGGAACTCCAGATGTGCACGGACTTGATGGGAAGTAGAAATCAAACATCTTTGGCTGTGCTCCCTGCTGGAGCACGAGCACTGATGGGAGGTTCAAAAGCAAAGTGTTTGAGCCCTGACTGCATTAAGCCATCAAGAAAAACTCTGTTGGTGCAAAGGGTTGTTCTGAGAAGGTCTGAGGTGGAGCTGGAAGCTGAGTGCTGGTGTTTCAAAGCATCCCATCCTTCAGGGACAGGACAGAGATGCGGATGGGAAATGTCTGAGCCTGTCACTGTTGTGACTGCAGCTCTCTCTCTCTCTTCTGCTATTTCCAGTTCCCTGGTTGCTAAGAAAGTCTGCTAATTGATGTGCTGCACTTCATACTGCTCTAGCTAAGAAAGCTGGGGCCTGGGAGGGTCATTTTGGGGCTATTGCCAGCACAGCTGCAGGGCTGTGCCAGCTCACATCGTATTTAGCCAAAATGAGGGGTTCTTTTCATCCCTGCACCTCCTCTCCTTCTGTGGTGCCAGGGAGGAGGAGGAGGAGGTTATTTCCTGCAGACCTTCCATGGTGCATCAAGCACTGGCAGCAAACCCCAGTGCTCTGGGAGAGTCTGCAGCTCACAGGGTCAAGAGCTCCTTCCTGCTGAGCAAGGCAGGGAGCAGCAGCCAAAGCTCCCTCTCCAGAGGGGAGCTGAGTAAAGGTGCCTTTTTGGAGGATCATATTTAAAACATGAGGAAGGGGCTAAAGAGGCACCAGCTGTGCATAATTCAATGGTTTCTCCAGACCTGCATTTCTGAGGCTGTAACAGCACTCGAAGAACGCATTAAAGCCCTGTCAGGATGACAACTTCAGCCATGCTGAGGGAGCCGGTGACAGCACAGCCCCAATTTGTGCAATGAGAATTGGGCACTGAGGGGTCCCCAAAGAGCCATGGAGCCCTGGAGACAGGACACAGCTCCACTGTGCCTGTGACAGCCCCTGCACAGGGCTGTGGGCATCAGGGAGAGCAGCCCTGGAGCCCAGGGGCTGTGCTGAGGCGAGCACACAGCGAGGTGTTTTGAGGCTGACTGAAATTGGTCACAGGGGAATGGAGCTGAGAGCTGCCCAGCCAGGCTCTGCACTTCTGCTCAATGATTGTCATGAGCTTCCCTGTCCTCCACAAACTGGGGAGCCAGACAGCACTGGTGGAATTCCTCTTGACACCTCAGAATGGATTTGCAGGTTCCTAACAGCCCCCACCCTCCCTGCTTGGGACAAAAACATCAGAGGGAGCGTTTTAACAGCACCAAAACCTTCTCCAAAATCTCCCACCCAGCTCTGGGCACCACCGTGGCCAAACACATCCTGAACCAGGACACGATGGCCAGCCCAGCGCGGGGACACGGTGACAAACCTCAGTCCCCAGCTGGCACAGGGCTGGGACCTTTGCCAGCCCATCCCGGCCAGCTGGGGGGCAGAGGATGGATGTCCCCGCGTCCCCCTGGGAGTCCCCTCTCGCCGGGTCTGCAGTGACACTAGGTGGCACCGCGAGGAAGGGAAAGGCACCGCGACATTACCGAGCCACCAGGAAGAGGACACAGCTGACAGCCAGGTAGGCGAGCAGCATGAAGAGCCAGACGCCAGGAGAAAAGGGGTCCAGGAAGGAGAAGTAGCCGGGTCTGCGGCCCTGGGCAGGGAAAAAGCAAAGGAGGAGTTGGAGCTGGGTGGGTTTGGAGAGGTGGAAATAGTCCTGGAAGGGCACGAGGGAAATTACCTGCACCCGTGGCACTGCAGGAGGGAAATGGGGGAAAGGGGATAAGTGGGAGAAATGGGAATAAAAAGGGGAATGGGGATAAAGGGGGGAAGGGGATAAATGGGAGGAGGGGAGAAATGGGAGAAATGGGGCAAAGAGGATAAATGGAAGAAAGGGTATAAACGGTAGAAGGGGGATAAATGGGAAAGAGGGGGATACATGAGAAAAAATGGGAATAAAAAGGGGAATGGGGGTAAATGGGAGAGGGGGGAGAAATAGGAGAAAGGAAATAAATGGGAGAAGGGGGAGAAATGGGGGAAAGGGGATAAATGGGAGAAAGGGGAATAAATGGGAAAAATGGGAATAAAAAGGGGAATGGGGGTAAATGGGAGAGGGGGGAGAAATAGGAGAAAGGAAATAAATGGGAGAAGGGGGAGAAATGGGGGAAAGGGGATAAATGGGAGAAAGGGGAATAAATGGGAAAAATGGGAATAAAAAGGGGAATGGGGATAAATGGGCGAAGAGGGGAAAATGGGAGAAAGAGGGATAAGTGGGAAAAAGGGAAGAAATGGGAGAAAGGGGCAAAATGGGGCCAAGGGGATAAACACGAGAAGGGGAATAAGTAGGAGAAAGAGAAATAAATGGGAGAAAGGGGAATAAATAGGAGAAAGGGAAATAAATGGGAGAAGGGGAAGAAATGGGAGAAATGGGGCAAAGGGGATTAATGGGAAAAGAGGGGAAAACAGTAGAAAGGAGATAAATGGGAGACAGGGGGATAAATGTGAGAAGGGGGAATAAAAAGGGGAAGGGGATAAAAGGAAGAGGGGGGATAAGTGGGAGGAAGGGAATAAATGGGAGAAAGGGATAAATAGAAGAAAGGGGATAAATGGGGCAAAAAGGGTAAATGGGAGAAGGGAAATAAAAGGGACAAAGGGGAATAAAAAGGGGAAGGGGGATAAATAGGAGGAGAGGGGTAAATGGGAGAAAGAGGGGAAAAATGAGAAGGGGAATAAAGGAAAAATTAAAAGATAAGTGGAATAAATGGGAGGAGGGGAATGAACAAGAGAAGGGAAATAAACAGGAGAAGGGGGATATACCAGGCTTTGGAACAGCCTTGCAGGGCAAACAAGTGACAGCAACCCCACAAATGACTGAGTCCTGCAGCATCTCCCCACTGGATTCATCCCCTGAATCTCTTTTTCTCCCCTTTTTTGTTCCTCCAGGCAAAGAAAGAGGTGAATTGAGAGAAAAATGAGGCAATCACAGCGTTCTGTCCCTTCCTGGCAGGGTTTGCTGCACCCCCAGCCCTGAGGGGGGTCCCCCATCCTTGTCCACCCCACACTTAACTGGGCAGAAAGGGCTCCACCTGAGCTCACAGGGAAATATATTTGTGGAGCAAAAGGAAAAAAAAATATATATCTATATATATTTTCAAAACTTTTCTATCTCTGGCCTTGCAAAGTTTCTTGTTTTACAAAAACCCCAATAAAATTATTACTTTTATCTCAGGGAACAGGATATTTTTATCTCCAGGATGCGTCAGAATTTCCTGTTTTTTTCTCAGCAAACCACCTTTCCTTGAAAAAAAAAAATAAGGCTTCACTGCTAGAAAAAGCAGGCTGATCTTCTCCCAGAGCATTTTAAACTTTCACAAGGATGCTGCCACCACCAGAAAATTGTCAAATGTCACCAAACTTGTGCAAAAGCGGGAGAATAATTTTTTGGAGAAGTTTCTCAAAAGCCAAACACCTCCCATTTTAGGTGGATTTCTCCTGTCAGCACCAGCTCTGAGGATGGAGCTCCTCTGAAAGGCAGGAGCGGCTCAAGCACACCCAAGACACAAGGGACATGATCCCACAGCTCACAGAAACCTGTATTTTCTGTCCCAAACCACAAATTCAGTCCTGGCATCCCTAAAACAGCTCCACAGCTTCCCCAAGCACCTGTAACTGGGAAGCTTCCCACGAGGCAGAGCTTTGCAAAGGCTTTTTTTTTTTTTTTCTCCTTTCCCCAGACTTAGACCAGCATTTTAAATTCACTTCCATCCAAACCTCGCTGTTTTACTACTAAATGTTATGCAGAACCTGAATTTCACAAGGTCTCAGCAGTTCTCCTGGAGGCTTGAGCTGTTGCTAGAAAAGGCAACAGTTGTTTGCACAAAAATCTTCCTCTGCTAAAAATATCCAGGAGCCTGTGAAATCCTCAGCTCCAGTCACCATCTGGGAACCTGTAACGTGTCAGGAACCTTCCCCAGCGAACCCTGCATGCAGGAAAAACCCAGCACACCACAACAACCTGTCCCTGGATCCTTCAGGATGAGATTTTGGGATCTGCGCTGTCCCCGCACGTGGTGGGGGGTTGGAACTGAAGGGTTTTTGAGGTCCCTTCCAAGCCAAACCAGTCTGGGATGAGCATTTTTAGAGAATCTGGCTTGGTAAGGCTTTTAGCAAATGGGTGAGTTCAGGACCATTGGTTCAGCACCCATTCTCAGATTAACTTCCAGTCAACTCCCAAGGAAAAGTTCAGGTTCTCAGATTAACTTCCAGTCAATTCCCAAGGAAAAGTTCAGGTTCTCAGATTAACTTCCAGTCAATTCCCAAGGAAAAGTTCAGGTTCTCAGATTAACTTCCAGTCAATTCCCAAGGAAAAGTTCAGGTCCTCCTGGGTTTAATTCCAGAGTCTCTCCTCCAGGCAATGTCTCCCTTCTGTTCCAGATTATCTCCTATCAACAGGTGAAGTACAAACATTGGAAGACACCACATTTTTTTGTGTCCTTTCCCAATTTTTTTGTCAGCTCCTGCTGTGTTCTGGTTTTCAGAGCCACAGAATCTGCAGGAAGCTGCATCCCATTTCCAGGAGAAGCCTTTGCTCACCCTGCTGGAGCTCCTCTCCCCAATCCAGAGAGGCCAGGGCACCCCCCAGCCCTGCAGGTGCCACGGGGTGTTCCCTCTGCCCTTCCCACTGATCCCATCCAGAGGATCCACGCCAAAGGGTGGCACTGCCAAAGGGTGGCACTACCAAAGGGTGACACTACCAAAGGGGGGCACTGGCAGAGCTCTCCCCTTCATGCCTCTCCTGGATGCCCCTCAAACCCCGGCTCCCCTCTTCCTCAGCAGCCCAACCAGCTCAGTAACTCTTCATTCCTCCTCACGGATGCAGTGAGGGAACCAGCGAGGTGTGAAGGGCACGGGCTGCTGAGCGAGCTGCAGCTCCTGGAGCTCCTCGTCCCAGGCAGGGCAGGGAATGATCCTCCCTGGCACCCCAGAGCTGGCAGGGAGCTCACAGGCCCTGGCAGAGCCTTGGCTGAGCCTCCCCCTGCGAGATGCTCCCGTGACAAAGTTCCTTTCTGCAATTAAGGCCGTGATGTCTTCTTTATATTTCTGGGGCAGTTTGTCAATAAATTACTCTCATTAAGGAAATTGCGTTGGAAGCTTTAAATCTCCAGCTTGGCAGTGAATCTCTCCTGTGACTTTACAGTTGTAGTAGTTCTGGTTCTTTTCAGCTCCAGTCATTTCCAGGCTGCTGGGACATATTCTTTTCATTCACAGTTGTGGGTAAGAATAAAGATATTCTGTTCCCACGGAGGGCACAAACTCTCTCTTATCTGTCTGTTTTGAAGATGGGAATGACAATATCTGGAGTCTGTCAGATATTTTTAGGCAGTCCCAATAGAGCTTTGTTAATTGGAAGAGCTATTTTTCCTGGAATAGATATGTTCAAAATGTCCAATAATTGATGAAGGCCTCCTGCAAATCCTCAGATGGATGTGGGAGAAGTTAATTTACCCTCCTCCTAAATTGTTCTTGGAAATCTTAATTTTTTTCAGCCAGTGAGCAAGCAGTTTGCTGGGAAGATACTGGTGACTGGAGAGCTTGGACAAGGGGGACATTTGGGAAGGAGAGGACAGCCCTGGATTTGTTGTTTTCAGCACTCCCTGCCCTGCACATGCAGAGTCTGGAGGAACCCCCGTCAGCCCCATCCATGCCATTTCTCACAAGTGTTTCCCCTAAAAAAGGAGGGCAGAGAACTCTCTCCTGCCTCTGGAAGTCAGAGGGAAAGCAAGAAAACTCATCCTGGGGAGGCAGAAACGTTGATGTGTGCTCGGTCCAGCCGCAGGGCACGGAACCAGGGCACATCCCAGACAACCACAGCTGCTCCAGGGGCAGATCCAGGTCCCTCCTTTTCCTCTGGGTCAGTAAAAGCCCTGCACAGGCTGCTCTGAATCTCGAGCCTCATCTGGAGTCACCACATGGTTCACAATCACCAAATACATTCTTGGGGCCAGCAGTTGCCCCCACGCTGCTCTGGTGGGGAGGAATCCTGCTGGCAGAGCTGTCAGGAGGGGGCTCAGCTCCTCTCGGCCCCTCTCAAGTCTCCTCTGGCTGGAATGAAGGAGTTTTTCCATCCATCCTTCCCATCTTGTGTCCTCTGCAGCAATCAAGTCAAAACACTTTTAAGGCTCAGCTCACTTGGCCTTAACTCAGCTGTGGCTGTGCACTCTCCCAACATCCATTTCCTCATTTTGAAGGCAAGAACTCTCAGGGCTGAGCAGGCAGAATCACCTCTAGCCCCTCGTTCCCTGCCACAGAGGCAGATGTGAGCAAAGATGGGTAAGACACAAATACTCCTGATTTATCCCTCCATGCAGAAAATTATTCCAGCCCCCTGCCAAACCCAGGGACTGCTCAGGGCTCCCCACCCACCTCCTGCCATCCCCCTGGCTGGGCAGGATGGGCACCTAATGGAACCAACCAAGCCTTTCCTCTCAGCAGCCTGCGAGTCAGGAAGCCTGTTAGAGCTCCAGTGTCAGAAATCCAAATACTTGATTGTATCACAAGCAGTGAAATTGAGAAAAATGACAGCCCTGGTTAAAGCTGCCATATTTGGTTATGTGTGATAAGAGGCACAGGCTCTGTGGTGGCTGGGTTGGCGGCGTGGGGAGGAGAAAGGGGTGAGAAATCACTTGCCACTGGAGCTACATGGAAATGAAAATAAAATGTCATCACATTTGAAGGAGCCCAGGGTGTAGAGAGAACTCCTCAGCGAGGAAGAGGCTCATTTGTGGTTATTTATTAGGCTCCATCTCATCCAAGCCGTGATTAACACACGTCAGCTGCAATTTTTGACATTGCAGAGGTGGTTTTTGGGGTGGGGAGAAGAAGGCCGTGGGGCTGCTCAGCAAACCACATCCTTAAAGGAAAACCAGAAGTGGCTGCTTTAACAAATATTTACCAGTTTCAGAAGTCGAATTGCCACAGAGCTCTCAGGCACTCTCCTCAAGCCAAGCAGGAAGGGTCTGGAGGAAGAGGTGCCAAGGCTTGGAGAGGGAAGGGATGGCTCTGAGCTTCCCTGCCCTGGGGAGAGCACGAGCCTGGCTGCCCAAAGTGGGGTGGCCCCACCTGGGAGATGTTTTTGCAACCCTGCCTGGGTCCCTGGGCAGCTCAGATCCTTCGTGGAGCAGCTGAAGCCCTGCTGAGAGCAGGGGGAGGATTCCCAAAACCCCTCTGGAGTCTGGGATTATGAATCCTGCTGTGTTTGGTGAATGCCTCATGGAGCAGGGCTGGGCTGTGCTCCTCTGGTGGCAGCAGATGCTCCCTGCCCTGAGGAACCTCCAGCCCAAACAAGTGTCAGAAATCCTGCAGAGCTCCCCGAGGCTGCAGCAAATGAGCAGACCCTGAGCAAAGGCTGCACCAACATTCCTGCTTTTCCTCTGGAGGGAGGAGTGCTGCTCAGAGAATTGCTGGAGATTCTGATGCAGGACATCCACAGAATGGTTTGGGTTGGAAGGGATCATAAAGATCATCTTGTTCCAACCCTTTTTGATGGGCAGGGACAATTTTCACTCTCCCAGGTTGCTCAGAGCTCCATCCAACCTGGCCTTGGATGCTTCCAGGGATGGGGCAGCCACAGCTTCTCTGGGAAATCTATTCCAGGGCCTCCCCACCCTCACAGGGAAGAATAAGAATTCCTTCCTAATATAACAGAGTATTAAATCACCAAATCTGATTTGAATCCTAGGAGACACTGGCAGGAAAAGGTCCTGGCTCCACAAGGATGATGTGAAAACCCAGCCATGGTAGGGAAGGGACAATTCCATTTGACTTCCAGGAGTTGTAAAAGTCAACCTTTTTTATTTTGTTTGTTTTTCTTTGTGATCAGTTAAATCATTGATCCTAAATTCTGCACTTACCAGAGGAAGAAGAATTTTAACTAGATTTTAATTACTTGTTTGCTCTTGGCAGGAGCCACTCAGCACAGAGATAGAGGCGTGAATTTGTTTCTCTTCATCCCCAACGCTGCATCCTTAACAGCCTCCCGGGTGGAGAGGGGGCTGGGAGAGGCAGCTTGAATGGATTTTTTTCCTTTTGGCTGCTATTGTTGGGCTGACAGAAACCAAGGCACTGTCACTCACATCACAAGTGCAGATTGGGGCTGCAAAAGGAGCTTGCCTGCTGGGACACCTGGAATTTGGGAGTGACTGGGGGAGATCTGGCCCTTCCTGAGCTTCAGGGAGAAGGTAAAACAGTGGAGGAAGCAAATAAAAGAGGATTTATGGGAGTTTAGGACAAGTTTAGCTAAGCAAACACACAACACCACGTACATGCTTGCACACACGAATCCCTTGGGAATAGTCCCACCTGTTTTGAAACAGAAAAAAATTTTTGCCCCACTCCTGGAAGTGTCCAAGGCCAGGCTGGACAGGGATGGAGCACCCTGGGATAGGGAAGGGGTGGCATGGGAGGAACTCTGAACAAACCATGCCAGGATCCTGTGATGCTACAACTCTGCTGAAAGCACCCCCTGAGATTAAGGAGCTTTCCTGGGGCTGCTGCTCTCCAGGGTGAACAAATGAGGAGGCAGAGCCTGGCCCCTGCCTGCCCCAGGAGGGACATTTCCCCTGGGGTTTGGAGAGCAGAGGCTGATCTGCCTCTAGAGCATCTCCAGGAGGTGACAGCAAAGAAAGAGGAGGGACATTTCCCCTGGGGTTTGGAGAGCAGAGGCTGATCTGCCTCTAGAGCAGGAGGTGACAGCAAAGAAACAACCCAGGATTCCTTCCTGATGGGATTCTCAGGTGGGAGAAGGCAGCAAGAGAGCAAAGCTGAGATCAAGAATGGCCCCAACACCAGCAAGGAGCAGCCACAGATATCCCAGCTCAGCCTCCCAGAGAGTTTTACCACTAAATCCAACTGGATGGTGACTCCAGGAGCCTGGCCCCTGCCTGCCCCAGGAGGGACATTTCCCCTGGGGTTTGGAGAGCAGAGGCTGATCTGCCTCTAGAGCAGGAGGTGACAGCAAAGAAACAACCCAGGATTCCTTCCTGATGGGATTCTCAGGTGGGAGAAGGCAGCAAGAGAGCAAAGCTGAGATCAAGAATGGCCCCAACACCAGCAAGGAGCAGCCACAGATATCCCAGCTCAGCCTCCCAGAGAGTTTTACCACTAAATCCAACTGAAATTTTCCAAGCCAAATTTCTGCAATTCCAGCCACGCTGTTGCACCCTTCCAGCCAAGCCTGCCCTCAGCACACCTCACCCAGTGGCCTTAAAGCCACTTAAAGCCACTCTAAAACCATCCTGCAGCCCCCACCATGCCAAAAAACCCATCATGTGCCTTGGGAAGAGCAGGGAGAGAAGCCAAAGGGCTGAGGGTTGAATAGGAATGGAATTCACCAATCCTGACACGCAGCAGAGAGACAGAGAAAAGCAGGAAATAAAGGTCGAGCACATTTGCGTTTAAATAAGAAACCAAAATATTTTTATGAGTCGTTCATTATTCTCCTCTAACCAGGCAGGTTTGCATGCAAATAATGGAGGGGCATAAACGGCTCTAAATTCAGGCTCTTACCATGTGAACTCGGTAGAGAATGCTAATTCCCAGAGTCATGAAGGGCTTGGAGAAATCAATCACCTTCTCCCGCTCCGCCGTGATCGTCAGCCCCGCCACGGCCAGATCAGCTTTCTGGGGAGGAGGAAAGGGAAAAGGTCAGAATCCCGGGAAAGCAGCAAAGCTGGGGCCACCCAACCCTGCTCCTGCAGGGGGATGTGCCACCTCTCTGGGACATGGCTGTGGGACAGCAGGGGCTCCCCACGTCTGCCTGCTGGGGTTTCACACAGCCCTGCTCAACTCACCCCAAAGTTCAGCCCGCTCTGTGCTCTGGAGCATTCTCCCCATTTTCCTTCCCATTCTCCATTTTTCCTTCCCTTTCCCCATTCTTCCCCCCCTTTCTCCATTTTTCATTCCCTTTCTCCATTTTCCTTCCCTTTCCCTATTTTTCCTTCCCTTTTCCCATTTTTTTCTTCCTTTCCCCATTTTTCCCTCCCTTTCCCCATTTTCCTTCCCTTCCCCCATTTTCCCCTCCCTTTCCCCATTTTTCCCTTCCCTTTCAGGCTGGAGCAGCTCCTTCCCTCAAGTGCTCACAGCCCAATTGCCATTTTTATTCATTTAATACATTAAAACCTGGAGCCATAAACCAATAAATATTATATTAATCTATAGAAAATACAACCTCCCCCCCTCCCTGCTGAGCACAGCTGTCCCTTCTGGTACAAGCAAGCAGCACAGGTAGGGCACAAAGCAGCATCCTCACCCCTGAGCCATGGAGTTCACAAACCTGCCAAACCCACACCTCCAGATCAGTCCCCAAATAAAAAATAAAATAAAATTCAGAGGGCTGGCATTAAAGTTTGCAGATTGACCTGCAAAGCAAATGAGATTAGGGGGGAGAAAAAAATAAAAATAACTTCTTCTGATGTTAATATCCTTGTAATATAGATAAGGTATTTGAATTTTAAATATTATTTTTATTACTTTAGCTCTTTTAATGTCTGTAATTGCTTTCTGTAAAAATGAAACCTCCACTCCCTTATCCATTTGTTTCTCTGCTTTGCAGGAAGATGATTATGCATGTGGAAAAAGAGGTGACGGCTGAGAAAGAAAAGCTGTTTGCACTTTTTGCCCCTAAATTTGACAAGGTCTGTGCAGATGCCAGGGCACCACCAGGCCTGATGGAGGTCCTGGGGCTTCAGGAGGGAAGAGCAGCACTGCTGGAACCAGGAGGGGGAAAAGAAAGGGGAGGTGACCCACGAGCCCAGGAAAGGGTCACAGAGAAGGTGACACCTCCCAGGTCACGCAGGGCTGCTTGGACATGCTCAGTGGAGGATTTTGGAATTGTTTCCAAGCAGCTCTTACAGATTCCTGAGAGGTTCAGGCTGCAATGAATTAGGAGCCGAGGAGAATTTCTGCATAGCCAGACATTTACCCACAGGCTTTTTAAAAGGCACCAATAATCCCAACGTGGCGTGCGAGCAGCTGAGCCCTGTGCAAACAGCAGCAGATCACTAAAATGGGATCAGTTCATCTCTGGAACGTGGCATGTGGAGAATTTTATCTATGAGGAAAGCCTAAAGCTTCCTAAACCCCTCTTGTCTCTACCTGAAAAGGGTTGTAGGTGCCATTGTCCCATTTCCTAAACCCCTCTTGTCTCTCCTTAGAAGGGTTGTGGGTGCCATTGTCCTGGGCAGAGCCATCCCAGCAAAGCCCCTGCTGAAGACACAGCTCAGTCTAACAATGGAATTCTCCTCCAAATTAAACACAGTCCCACCAGCAAAGTCACACACTAAAGCAGAAGGTAAAAATGCCATGGCAAAAGGGGTTCATGCCAAAGCTAGCAGGAAATTTTCATTCCTACCCAGGGGTAAATATAAAGGTGCTGGTGAAGGAGCAGCAGCAACATCTTGGTGTTGCTGCATCCTCAGCAGCATCCTGAACTGCTCTTCCCCACACCAAATCTACTCCAAATCCATCCCTCAGAGACACAGCACAGCCTTCCCCAGCACTCAGACTCTGTGCCCAGCTCCCTCCTCTCATCTCCAGGGGGTTCTGCCACTCCACCAGAGTTATTTCCTTCTGCTCATTCCCTGCTAACTTTTCAGGACTTCTGCCACATCAGAGGTGCAGAACTTTCTGCAGCAGAGCTCTGGCTCCTCATCATTCCCTCTCTCTTCTCTCTGCAGGCTCAGTCATGCAAGTTAAGAGCTGATCTCTGATAGCAGGAAACTTTGATCTGGGAATGGCATGCAAAGAATTCTCTGCCTGAATTTCATCCATTTCATGCTTTCAACTCTGCTTCCTGACAAAACTTCTGGTGATTCACTGAGCTCAGTGGAGCTACAGAGGAGCTCTGCAAACCTGAGTTCTCTCTGGCCTCCCCACCTGAGCACAGGCAGCTGCTGGGATTTTATGGGCCAAGGGATGCCCTGGGGGAGGAGAAATGGATTTTGCTTTGTGCCCCTGCACTCTGTCCACGTCTGGGCTCTGGGGAGAGGGAAAAACAGGAGGCAAAGGATGGAGGGGAAGAGGGGTTGGTTTTCATCCTGCCAGCACAGTTGCAGCTATAAATGTTGGCATGAAATAGGCTTAGAAAAAGACCCAGAGCTTTTTGGGAGTGGAGACAGCCACTTCTCTCAAGAACACACCGCCCAAGCAAGGCCAGACCTCACTAGGGGAGAGGAAACCCAGGTGGGCTGGTGTGCCAGACAAAAGCTGCCACCACCACCGCCCTACCTGGCATTCCCGTGGGCTCTGCCTGCAGCAGGAAAGGACATTAAACACGGGGGCTGAGCCGGGCTCCCGAGGAGGAACAACAATTAAGCATCCTTCAGGAGCAAATTGCAGGGACTGCCAGTCCAGAGGCGGCGTCCGCCCCCTCGCCGCGGGCTCTGACAGGGCTCAGCTCGGAGCTGAAATGGTGATGAATGGGCCCTGACGTCAGCCCCAGCCCGGAGAGATCCCAGAAAAGCCTCCCACGGCATGGGATGGCAGAAAGCAGCCGGGAGAAGAGCCCAGCTGAAGCCCCACAGAGTCCCCAACCCTCCACCAGGCTGAGGGGACACAGCGCAGGGAGCGAGGCTCGGGGCTGGGGATGTGTCAAACACCTGGAGAACAAACCAGACAGCTCTGGGGGCATAGGGCTGGGGTCTTTTCCAGGAGCAGCAGTCCCTGGCTTGAGCAGCTCCTCGGATGCCACATCCCCTGGGTGCTTGTGACAGCAGCATTGTCACCAGCACTGCCCACCGAGCCCTGACAGCACGACCAGGGGCAGCAAACCCTTCTTCTGCACGGTCCCTGTGCTCAAAAAGCCTCCCAGAAAGGTGAAAGAGCTGTTCAAGCTTCAGGAGCCAGCACTGCAGAGCCAGCAGCACTGGGGGTGCCCCAGTGGAAGGCCATCCAGCTGGAGGTGACCCTGCTCTCTGCAGAGGTTCTCTGCTGTCCCATGCCACCCCTGATGCCTGTTCTTGCATTCAAAGGCAGGAAGGTCACTCCAAACAGGTGTCTGGGGACTTTTTAAGGATAAATGTGAGTTCTGCCATATCGGAAGTGACAGCCTGGAAACCCTGCAGGCTGCAGCTCTGCCTGCAAGCCCCAGCCAGGGCGGGATGAGCACTCAGTGCAGGTGTCAGCCTCGAGTCTGCCCTCGCCCACCTCTCCTCACCTGGCCTCTCTGTGGGAGCACAAAACCTGTGCCAGGTGCTCACCCTGCCCGTGGCAAAGCCAGCTGAGGTGAAGCACCAGCAGTGGGGACCCAAAGCACGCAGGGACAGCAGTGACACCAGCCCAGCTCACAGCACCCTCCCCATCCTGGGCTGGATTTCCCAGCAGTGCTTTGCAGACCCCTCTGCCTGTCCCCTCACCATTAGCACAGCCACCCAAAGCCCCCTCCTGGAGCCCCCTTGTCACAGCTGCCACCACCACAGGCTGCAAACATCTCCCCCTGCCTCCCTTCAGCCACACACAGCTTTTCTCTGCACACACCAACACCCCCTGCGAGGGGAGAGCAGGACTCTGCCAGCTCTGGAGAGCTTCTCCCTCCTTTCCCCTTCCTGCCATTCCCCAGCTTTGGAGCAGCTGAACGGAAAGCAGTGCCTGGCCAGCAGCAAGGAAAACCAGCACCCCAAAGCTCTAAGAGCTTCCCTGTTCTTGGTGTTGCTCCTCCTGAGGCTGGACAGGATGGATAATTTCATGTCCCTCACTTTAAAAAGAGCTTTGATCACCACTGATCATGGCCAGATTCGAGCCAGGCATGGTGGGACAAGGCTAAGGCTGTGAAAATTCATCCTTGGTTTGTGTCAGCCAGAGAATTCATTGCAGCTCGAGGATGTGCTGGGGAGAGAGAGAAGGGGAAGAGCAGACACCATCAGGGACCCTGAGCCAGAGCTGCACTGCAGCAGCAAGGAGCAGGATGTAATTCTTCCAGCCCAAATGCCCTTTAAGTCTCTGATGCCAGCAAGGAGGAGATGAGAAGATTTGCTGTTCTCCCTTGTTTGTTTGTCTGTACCAGAGCCAGGAAGGCTGACAGGGAGAGTGGCTTTAGTGCCCTGCTCACTCCAGGAATGAGCTGGGTGCTCAATCTCCCTGCCCTGCATGCTCAGAGGGACAAATTAGCCCAGGCTTTTCTGCATTTGTAACATCTCTCACTGCAGGATGGGCTTGAGGGACTCCTCATCGGGAACTGGAGTGACAGGACAAGGGGGAGAGGCTTGGAACTGAAGGAGATATTGGGAAGGAATTCTTCCCTGTGAGGGGCTGGATGGAATTCCCAGAGAAGCTGAGGCTGCCCCATCCCTGAGCATGTCCAAGGCCAAGCTGGATGAGGCTTGGAGCAACCTGGGGTAGTGGAAGATGTAAATCACCATTCTGTGACTCTGAGTCCTTCCAGGTGACTTCTCCCAAGCCAAACCTCCAGGAGCTGATCACAAACTGTACAGGATTCCCAAGCCATCCCAGTCCCCTCTTCCTCACCTCCCAGCCTGTTTAGTGAGCAGGTCAATAAGACATATACTGGTGAATTTGGGTCAACAACAGACTTGTGTTTGTCCAGCATGCTGCTCAATCATATCAGGGTGCACAATTAGCTGCAATGGAATTCCCAGCGCTTAAGAATAAATCAATAGCTGGTTAATTTAGAAGCAATAAAATGAAACATTTTCTCCCAAACAGCCTAGAGTTGCTCTGAGGAGATTCCGTGCCACTGAGGGATTACAGGGGAGGCTGGATAATTCTGTGACCTTTTGGTCCTGCACATTAAGTGAGTGTGAGTCAAACCTTATTTTCTGATAGCTGATCAGGATCAAGGCAAAATTATTTTCCTACAATGACACTGTGCTGGACAGAGGCAGAGCTTTCATTTTTGGGAAGGACTGGGCACTTTTGTGAGAGGTTTGTGCCCCAACAGATCTCCTTTTTGTCCTAAAGGGGCAGAGTAAAAATAGAAATATATATATAATTTCTATGATATATAAATCCACTGAAAAAGGAATATGTGCACCCAACACAGGATCTCCTGGATCCCATGGGACAGGGGTGAACAAGGGGCTGGAATCAAGGATAAACCCCCTTGGGAACTGACTGTCAAGGATGGACAGAAGCCCCTTGGGCAGTGAAATGCCCTCAAAAAACAACATCCCAGGCAGCCCTGAATAAACACAACACCAAGCACACCCAGCTCTGCCCTGGCTGGCCTGAGCACAGTGCCTGGGATTGATCAAAAACTTGCTGAAACCATTATAAAAACTCTCAGGGATATAGGAAGAACAAGAGACAAAGCTGTTTCTCTTCCCCAATTTGTGATCCAGCCTCAGAGGCTCTGACAGCTCTGCCCTGCAGAAGCAAAAAACCCTCCTAAATAAGGCTGCGGAAGAAACAAACGGTTTCTGTGTGAAGATGAAGTTAAAATACTCATCACTGGAGAAAAACAAACCTTCCAGAAGGTCCCATTTAATGAAGAGGCACTGCCAAGGTTAGCAGGCCAGAAGTTTGATGGCTGTTCCCTTCTTTTGAGCTCTCAGCTCCTTCCCTCTTCCCTCCCCAAAGGAATGTTGCAGGAGTGTAATTGTGTGTGTGTGTACACACAGAGACACAAAGATGGATAAAAACGATGCCAATAGCCTGGAGCATTTGCAAACAGCCTCACAGAAGCTCTTTGGAAAGAGCAGATGGAGGTGGGATCTCAGCTGGCACTGAGAGCGACTGCTCAGGGAGGGGTGACCCCAGAGACAGGGAGAGCTCAGCGGAGTCTCCAGTCTGTTCAGTGCCCTGCCTGTGACCCTCAGAAAACCCAAAATCCCTCCCTCTTCCAGGCAAAGAGTTGTCCCAGCTGACCTCAAACACCCAGTTGAAACTCCTGAAGTGGGATCAGCATTGCCCTGCACCACGTGGGGAAGGAGCAGGAGGTGCCAGTGGGCATTTCCAGAGATCACGGACCCATAAAGACCACAGAAGCATGGAAAAGCCTCCAAAATCCTCAAACACAACTTCCAACCGAATTCCACTGTGCCCAGTAAACCACAGAGTGAAGTGATGGTCATTTTCCAGGGAGGAGAGAGTCTCAGATCCCTGCCTGGAGTCCCAGGGGATGGATTTGGACCCTTGCTCCTCGGCAAATGACTCAGGGTCTCCTCTCCCACAGCGAGGGGATTATCACCAACCCACGTCACCATGGATTTGTCACCAGCTGGGAAAGTGGCACTGGGCTCTCAGGGCCACGTCAGGAATGACAAGGCAGGAATCAGTGAGGAAGTATTGGCTTAAATAGCATCAATCCCACTGTTAGCTGTGGCTAAGCCTATTTTCCTAAGGATCTCAGAGCAGTTTGTGAGCTGTATTTAAGCTTCAGGAAGCCTGGGAAACACCACAGAGGAAAACAAAGAGCAGGGAGAAGGGTCCAGGCTGGCTGAGCCCAGGTGTACATAAAATTATTGTCAAACCCAGCAAAATAATTCCGTTTTCAGCTTTCCTGCTGGGCAGCAGCTCCACAGAGCAGAGCAGTGAAAAGATCTCAAGCCATGCACTTCAAGGAAAAAGGAAATGTGCTTCTCTGAAAGTAACACTGAGTTAAGCAGCTGAACTGAATCCGCCAAAACTTTTCTAGGCAGAAATGGGATTCTTATTTGCTTCCACCCCAGTGTGGTTTTGTAAACTTTTCCAGCTTCTATCAAGCTCTGCATTTTCATGTTGCAAGTTTTCATTAATCTTTCCACTAGGAAAATAATCTATTCTGTAATGAGTTCTTACATGGGATCCCAGAGTCCAAACTTCCTTCCCAACAAAGTGAGCACCCCTGAGAGCATCCCACAGCCTGGCTCTTGCTCTGACTTCTTCCCACACTGCCACACCACCCCAAGAAACACATTCTCCATCAGGAGAACACAGTGCAAACCTACTGTATTTGGGTTTCCTCCAGACGAAGGAAGGAATGATGGATCTGACTCTACGTTCTCAGAAGGCTAATTTAATATTTTATGATACTGTACCATATTAAGGAATGCTATACTAAACTACACTAAAGAATACAGAAAGGATACTTACACAATACTAAAGAGATAATAATGAAAACTTGTGACTCTCTCCAGAGTCCCAACACAGCTTGGCCAAAGAGTGAAAACAACTCACAGCAGAACCCAATGAAACAACTACCTGTGGGTAAACTATCTGCAAACACATTCCACGTGAGCAAAACACAGGAGAAGCAAATGAGATAATTATTGTTTTCATTTTTCTCTGGGGCTTCTCAGCTTCCCATGAGAAAAATCCTGGGCGAAGAGCTTTTTCAGAAAATGTGAATGCCACACAAACCTTCTCCTCCAAGCCTCCCAAACGGACCAAAACCCCCTCCATCCTCATCATCACGGAGCACGGGGGGGCTTTGCAGCGCCAAAGCCCAGCAGAGCCGTGTTTAAAAGAGCAGCTAATCCACTCACCCGAGCTATCAGCTCCCCGACCATCCCTGTCCAGGTGCCGTTGGCCTCGGGGACGCCGTAGACGCCGTCCCCCACCAGGTGGATTTTGTAGTTGAAGCGCAGGATCTCCGCCAGCTCCTTCAGCATGTCCACGCAGAAACCCTCGTAGCGGTCGTTGCCTTCCAGCTCCTGGTGGTTCCACTTCAGCATTAAGTAAGGGTTTTCCTGCAGTGAAACTGGGCAGCTGTCATTCCCATCTTAGCCGAGGTGTCCCGCCAGCACGGAGCAGGGAGGGCAGTGCCAGAGCTCACACGGTGGGGTGGGTTTGGGGGAAATTTTAAAAAAGTCTAGTTCTAACCCCAAAAAGCACATCCCAGCACAATGGATCCCTCTCAAACTGGATGAGGAAAGCTTGGGAGCTCAGGTGGGGCTGAGCTCTCAGAGCTGTCTCCACACTGGTGCTCCCTGGCCCCTGCTGTGTGGAGGTGCAGATTTATCCTGGTTTAGGACACAAAGCAGAGCTGAGGGATGATGATTTGGGTGCTGTTTCCAGCTGGGAAGTGCAAGAGCAGCCCAGTGAGTCATGCCAGGACATCCAGACTTCAATCTCTTCTGGCACAGAGCCACTTCTCCAGTCTGTCCCCTTTCCAACAAACTTTGTGTGGAGACAGGCAGGAGTTTGGGTGTCTTAAAAGAAGGAGCAAAAAAATCACTGGACAGGCAGCACCTGGAAGGGAACCTGTTCAATACAGACAGTGGTGCCTGTACATGCCAAGTTTTCATAAAAATCCTGCCCATCTTGGCCAATTTTTATAATTTTATGGGTAGAAGGGGCCACTGTCCCTTCCAACTCAGCAGCTGTACGCCAGACAAGAACCTCATTCCGAGCTGGATGCAAACTGGCAGCGTGTCCCCATCCCAGCCCCCTCTGAACCCTCAAACACGAACCCTCTGAACACACCAAATGCCATTTCCATATGCAACATCGACCTGAGCTCATTTACACAGCCAGGAATTGTCCCCCAGGCTGTCATTGGAGACTTGCAGTGTGAAATGAGCCCAGTGCAGGGCTGAGGGGCAGGAGCAGGGAGCAGGATTCCAGCTGACCCCCCCAGAGGGCTGGGCTGGCCCGATGGGGACTGCAGGTGCACCCCTCCCTTACCAGGATGGTGGTGACAATGAGCGTGGTGTTGAACAGGCTGTCGGATATGTTGGAGGAGAAGATCCTGTTGTCCATGCTGAGCCCTTCAGAGACGTGCCAGTGGCCAATCTGGAGAGATAAACAGCACAATAAGGGGATTTATAGGGCGAGGCACTGCCCATATGGCTCTGCTGAGTGACAGTCCTTGAGCTGGCCTGTTCAGGGATGCTCCATTACCTTCACAACCCCAGAATGGGTCAGCAGAGAGATTAACCCTCTGTGCACGCCCCACCTGCTCTGCAGGGCCACCAGCCTGGCCCTGTGCTGCCTTCCCACGTGTCCTCCCTGCAGAGCTGAGCTGGGCAGCTCCCTGCAAGGCACACAGCCTTGAATGTTGTCCCCAAATGCCACCAAATGGGTCCATCTTAGCCAGAAATCCCCAATCTGTGGGATTGTCCCTCCAAATGTGGGAGCCCTCCTGGGTGGGACAAAGCCTCCTTCTCAGTGGTGCTGCTCCACGACTCCTCTTCCAGCTCTTAACTACCACAATTAAGCACGTCCAAACCTTTAATTCAGGATCATCACACCCAAATTTACCCACCCAAGCATCAGTGTGGCTGCAGCAAACCCAAAGTCCCAGTGTGGATGGCAGGAACCAGTCCCCCCAGGCTCGGGGGGACATCGTGATTCAGCTGTGACACAACTGCCTTCAGCCAGGGGGGAGGAATATTCCACAAAACCTAATTTTAACTTCAAGAGCCTAATCTCCTTCACTCAGAGCTCTGGGCAGGGACATCAGCACCTCCAGCAGCTTGTTCAGAACGTGCAAATTAAACTCCTGCTCTCTTACTGTCCTTAAAAGAGCCTCTGCTTTTCCTGCTTTGCTTTTCCTCATGGATACAGGGGGGGCTGAAGAGGCCAGCTCCCTATGAACCCCCATTTCCTCCTCTGTCCCATCAGGTTCCAGCACTCTGCTGGTGTCCTCTGACACCTCTCTAGTGGGGTGAAAGGCCGTGGGTGACCCCAAATGTGCAGGGGGGTCTCCAGAGCTCCTCCAGAGCAAATCCATGCCCAGCCAGCTCCCTCCTGTGCACTGGGACTGAGGCAGGTTCTCCTCTCGCTGTCAGGCTGGGAGGAAAGGATTGGTTTTCCTTTCTGTCATGGGTTAATCTTGTTATTAATAGGGAGGGAAGGTGGTGGGGAGCCTTGGGACTGACTCTGTGCCTGCTCTGGGCACTGCTTGGCCTCTGGTGTGACCAAAGGCTCGAGGACTTGGGGTGGCTTGGATCTGAGCCCAGCACAGCCACCCTCAAAGACAGAGTCCCTCTGGGTGTTGAGGGAAGGGCCAAGTCCTCTCCAGTCCCAGGGAAGGGCCAAGTCCTTTCCAGTCCCAGGTGCTGCTGCAAATCCAGCCCAAGTGACCCAGAAGCCACCATGGGAATCCATGAGGAGTCCCAAATCCAGCCTCCTGATCCCAAGGCACAAGGAGCAGTGGGAAGGGCAAGCAGGACAGCTTTGCACTCAGAACCATCAAAGCCCTGCAGACACCCCAGCAATCCCAGCCCAATCCTGACAGCAGTGTCCAAACCCTCCTGGAGCTCTGGCAGCCTTGGGGCCGTGACCATTCCTAGTGCACGGCTCACCCTGGGAACACAGCCCCAAACTGGGAGATTTCCCACCCATTTCACGGGCAGGGAGCCCTTGGAGCACAGCTTCCACTGGCCTGAATCCAAGCAGGATGAATCCCTGCTGAATTCCCCCCCTCTGCTCTGAGTGCAGCAGCAGTCGCCTCTCAGAGCGAGTCATCACTCACAAACATTGCCTAATTCTTCTTCCCTCCCGGATTTCTCAACCAGAGATTAGTGACAGATTAACTTTAATTTTAACAGCCCTCGCTGTTCTCCAATTTGTCCCTCCCCTGCTGGCATGTGCTGAGACTAATTGCCTCTTCTCCTGACAGGGCTGTGGGTTTGACCTTGCTTTTAAAGGCACCAAGGCCACGAGTGCCACATGCTGGGGCACTTCTCCCCATCCTGGCTGGCCCCAGCTCGCCCCTGTGCCCCTCACGGGCTGACAAAGCTCCTCCTGCTGCTGTTTCTGCAGTGCCAGGGGGTGTCAGGGCCCCTCACGTCCCTCTTCTGCAAGATGGATGTCAAGGTGATTTTAATCATCTCTATCTACATATAAAGAGCTTCTGGAAAATAGAAAACATATCCATCTGCTAAGTTTTTTTAGAAAACAATCCAATGCTCTGCACGGACAGGGATGAGACCATCCTGTTGTTAAGGCTCTGGACAAGGACTTGAGGGGCTTTAGGACTCAGGGTTTTTAGGAGTCAGGGTTTTTAAGCAGAGGATGTGATTGGTCTTTATAAATACTGCAGGTGGAGGAGGTCTGTAGCAAAGAGGTAGAACAGCTTTTTGAAGCTGAAATGATGGCGTTGGCACAAAAATAAATACATACAAACCAGCCAGAAATAAACAGGCTGACAGAGCAGGGGAGAGGTTCCTAATGATCAGAGGAGCTGGAGTGATAGCTGTCCTAGAAGAGCAACGAGGGCAGCACAACCTGCTGGGTGCAAGCTGGAGCTCAACACCTTTGAGAGAGGAATGATGTGACCTGGTGACAGCCCAGGACCTGGCTGGAGAAAGTTCCCTTCATGTCCTCAGGGATGTCTGACCCCTCCCAGCATCATCTCTGCACCTCCCAGCATCTCCCTGTGCCCTGAGGAGATCCAGCCCTGCCTCAAACACCCACAGGCATCTCGAGGCAAACACAAACTGTGAAACTCGGAGTGTGAAGCAGCCCAGAAAGCCTCGAGGCTGGAAGGAGCAGGGAAGTGCCACTGCTCGTGCCACTGCTCCCTCCCCACAGGCAGCCGAGGTGCCTCAATTTAGCTGCTCTGGAAAAGGTGTTATTTGGGTTGGTGGCACAGAAAGATTTCTCATCTCTGTAGAAAATCCCCACGTGGAGCATTCCTGGCTCGCTCCTTCCACCCTCTGTGCAGAGGCTTTGAGGCTCCTCATGGTGATGAAATACCTCTCAAAGCAGCGATTTTAATGAAATCTTCTGCTTATTTTTCTGTAGGCACAGAGATGACAGGGCAAGACTTGTCCATGAGCTTCAGAGATATTTACCATCCCCACTCCCAGCTTCAAATTAAGGCAAAGCCAGCCCTGAATCCAGATTTTGGAGCAGCAGACAGCAACAGGAACCTCGTGGGCTCTGATTACAAGTGGTGTCCTACAGCTTGCAGCCATCATCTCCCCCCTCCGTGTCCCCAGGAAAAGGGAGGAGTGCACAATGCAATCAAGGTGCCCCAAGGAGAGGGAACCTGGGAGTGACTGGGGAGGGGAAAAAGGGAATCAAACAAACAAATGAAGGAAATCCCCCTGAGGACACTGCCACGGGGTTGGATTCCTGAGTGACACCGCTGATGCCAGCGCAGCAAGGAGGCAAAAGCTCCTGCAGTGAAATTAGCACTGCCAACATCAACTTTAAACCAAAGAACCACGAGACACACACACACCTCACCCCTGAGGCCACCAGCATCCCCCAGATGTCCCCTCCTCCCCAGATGTCCCCTCTGGACCACATGATTGGCACTTGGCAGGCCCAGGCAGGGCTGTAGGGCACACACTGACTTGGTCAGGTCCTGGGGGCAGAAGCCATCGAGCTCTTGGCAGAACCTGTCCCTGGGCTGCTCCTGGGGGCAGCAGCTAAAGAGGAACCAGGGCACACACTGACTTTGTCAGGTCCTGGGGGCAGAAGCCATCGAGACCCTGGCAGAACCTGTCCCTGGGCTGGGGGCAGCAGCTAAAGAGGAACCGCTCCCAGCGAGGCTGATTAGCTGCTGCTCAATTAAAAAGGTTTGATGTGGCAGGGACTGTGAAGCGTCCCAGAGCTATTGGTGGGGAACTCATCTGTATCTCATCAACATCCCAATTAACAGCCCCAGCCCCTGCACTGCTCTGTCTCAGGACACCAGCAGGGCCTGTGGTAAGTGCAGATTGATCAGCCTCACTCAGGATGGGGTCAGGGTCTGCAGCTTCCCCCTTCCCCTCCCTAAATCACCTCCACCATGAAGTTCCCAAACCTCAGCTCGTGATTTACAGCAAATCACTCTGCTGGAACTCTGCAGTGTTTTTTAGAGGGGCAAAGAAAAGGGGGAAAAAAAATAAAAAGATGACATTTACCAAACCCAGCCCTTGTCAGATCTATAGATCACCAGCACATTAATGAGCCTGTGCTTTATCGAGCATCCTGTGAGCAGACAGAGCAGCTCTCATATGGCTGTGGAAAAAATTCCTCTGGTTAAGCTAAATCAGGAAGAGACGTGTTTGGTGCATTACATAAATGTATTAAAAATTGGATGTCAAAAAGCCCTGCCTCTCCTTGCCCAAAAGCAGCAGCAAGTTAGAGAATCTAAGTGTCTCTAATTTGCTTCCTGGCTGGATCAGCCTCAAAATTTGGTGAACTCTCCATCAAAGCTGATGAGCTGGAAGTCCCTGTGGCTTCACTGGGTGGAAGGAGAGAGAGGAGGAGAGAGAAAGAGGGAAAGAGAGGAATAGGCAGAGCTGAAATGAGCTTGGTTGAAACTAAGCAGGGAATAGAAGTGTTTCAAACAAATCAGTTAATGCAACCCTTGGGAGCAAGATTGTCTCCAGGATGTGAATGCCTGTTCTTTACCCTGTCCCTTTAATTAAAATATTTCTGATGATTTATTTAGTCTTTTTCATTAAAAGAAGCCAGGCTGGCAACAAGAAAATAACCATTTATGGCACAGCAGAGCTGCCTTTGGCTTCTCTTTGTGGGAACGTGGAGGGGAGGCAGGTTGGGCAGAGCCTGAGGGGTCTCACAGCTCTCTGGGGGGGCTCTTCCCAGTTAAACACATCTCAACAAACTCCTTGAGGCTGGGAGGAGCCCTGACCCCCTCCTGGGCACTGCTGTGGATCAGAAAATCTCCCTGAGAAAGGGAGAGAAGGCAGAAAAGCTGAGACAGGAGCAGTTTTATAAAAATCAGCTCTTTCCTGGTGGGTTTGTGACAAGGCAGGGCTTGCAGCCACCCCCAAGGAGCTGCCCTGTCCTTCCAGCACTTTCTCCCTGAGGCTGGAAGTGCTTCATCCCTGCAGCCTGATGGGGAATGTGGAAAGCTTGATCCCAGTGCAGCTTGCCTGGGCACGCCACAGACACAGAGCTCCTTTTTTACCGAGCTGTTACAACAGGTCAGCAAAGGTTTTCTCCTGTCACAGCAGGTTTGTGGGGAAGGGATGAGACTTTAGTCTCAGGGCAGATCAGGCTGCAGTCACAGCTCCCCACGGAGCTCTGGGAGAAGCTCTGCTCCAAGGGGACCTGGGAGTTTAACGTGCAGTCCCTGCCACATTCAAACAGATCAAAACCAAAGCTGTCACAGGGAGCTGTGCAGCCTTTCCTTCCTGAATCCAGCTGAATTTGTGCTCTTATTAATGCAGATGGGCTTGGATCTGTCACTTCTGTTCAGAGGGTGATGGGTTTGGGAGAGGATTAAAAGGGCATTGATGCTGTGAGAGATCTCTGTGGGGAAAATGCCATCCTGATCCCCCCTGCTCGCTCAGAGAAACGCAGCATCAAAGCCAAGCTGTCACTTGACAGGTAAGGACTGGCAGTAACATCATTGCCAAGGCTGAAATTCACTGCTGCCAGGCCAGGAGAGGGTTCCTGGTGCCAAAATGCTCTGTTGGTGAGGGTAGGGTACAATAGCTTTTGTTCTCTGCCAGCATCTAGAAGTGGCAATCTCTAAGAAAAGGGCAGTAGTGGAGCTGTCAGCAGAGAAACAAGACAGATGAAACCCCTGGTTTTTTTATGGGACTTCTATGGTTGTTTTTTTTTTTTCCTCCTGACTAAGGTTTGGATTTACCAGCAAATTCCTTGCATTTGTGTCGGGTAATCCCATCAGTCTGATATCCTCAACTTCAACTCAAACCAGAAAATATGGCTTGGGCAGAAAGTGTGAGATGAGGAAATACCACTCAAATTAATGATTTTAATGAAATCTGCTCGGTGTTCTGTGGGCAGAGGAAAGCTGTGAAGAACCTACGAGCACCGAGACAAAAAGTAAATGAGTGTGAGCTGAGCAAACCTGTTAGAGAGGAACCACAAACCGAGAGTGAAATGAGCTTGGACTTCCCCTCACAGGGGGGAGATGATGGGGAGCCCCTCACATGGGTTTGCCCCATTTGCTTTCTACCCCAGAAACAGTTTGAAAAGATTCACAGTATCTATTTTTTCCCTTATTTCGTAGCAAATTCTCCCATTTTCTCCCCATCCAAATAATTTTAAGGAAATGCAGACACAAGGTTAAGAACTATAGGAGTGTGAGTGTGAGCTTGCACCTGGCACAGACTCCCTGCCCTGAGTTAGCACCTGTGACAGGCCAGAGATTGCCTCTGCCATCACCCCCTCCAGGGCCTGATGGATTAAGACAAATCCAAACCATCCTGAGGCACATTCCTCAGTCAAACACGCTGAGTTTGCCAGCCAGGGCTCAGCCAGAGCTAAGGTGACACCCCGAGCAGCTCATGGTGCAAACAAGGGGGGGTCTGTCCATGTCACATTTTCTGAAAAATCCCTTTGCCAGGATTTCTTCTCCTGGGAAGCTGAGAAGCCTCAGAGAAAAATGAAAACAATAATTATCTGATTCGCTTCTCCTGTGTTCTGCTGCTTTGGAATGTGGTTGGACATTGTTTACCAACTGGTCATTGTTTGATTGGTTTCATGTGAATTGTTTTAATTTAATGACCAACCACCGTCAGGCTGTGTTGGACTCTGGAGAGTGGCATGAGATTCATTATTATCTCTTAGCCTCCTGTCTGTATCCTTTAGTATAGTTTACTATAGCATTCTTTACTATAATATAGTAACACAAAATAATAAATTATCCTTCTAAGAACAAGGAGTCAGATTCATTCCTTCCTGCCACGGGGGACCCCAGAAAACACCACAGGGGTGCACAGCCCCTTTTGGTCCCCAGAGCATGCCCCTGAGCCCAGGACACCCCAGCCCTGCCCTGGCTGCTCTCACCTGCCGGAAGCCACCGCGAGCGTGCTGCAGGATTTTCAGGGCGTAGTTGGAGCGTTGGCCTTTGCTGTTGAATTCGATGTGGCCGGTGAGACCTTCCAATTCTACCTGTCCAAGAGAGACTCAGTTACAGCGCCCAGCGAGGCTGCCCCTCCCCAGTACTGGCATTTCCCTAATACTACACAGGCAAAACTGAAAGAAAGTCCTTCAGTCCTGATCAGAAACCCAGAAACGGGACAAATTGAAGGAACATTTCCACTTATAACAAAGGGAATGCTTGTGTCTCCACAGGTTCAGGACCAAAGTGGATTCCAGCAAAGAATCTAAAGCCATTATTTCAAGCACAGAAACACATTAACGACTCTGAACAGTTTTAGAGTACAGCACTATACTTTAAAACTCTACAGTACTGTACTCTAAAACTCTCAACTTTTCTCTGCTTAGCTTAACATGTCTCTGCTTTAAAGTATAAATCCACATTCTTGCTTTTAGCACCTAAGTTTGGAAGCCTTCTGCAAGGTCTCAAATCAAATCCTTGTTTAATTCTAAGCTTTGGCTTACAGACCCAAAGTCCTGAGAGTTCCCTGTCCAGAGAGAGGAGGGATGGCCCCACACTCACTCCCAGCAGGAACAGCAATGAAACCCTTTTAGCTCAGTCCTAATTATTTTTGGAGTCTGGCTACAGGAGAAAAGACAAGGAGTGGAGCAGGGAATCACCAGCACGAGGTGCAGGACTCACAGATGTCCTTGCTTTGGGAAAACCAGCTCCACATCCCCTCCCTCCATCCCAAGGCTAAGACCACTGGGTCTTCGAGCAGCAGAGCTGTGGGGAGCTGGAGGATTTTGTAGTCCTTGGCTAAAGGTGGGGTTTAAAACAATGAGCCAAAGTGGTACAATGCTCAGGTTCAGCTGAGCTTTCCTCTGGGGGGAAAAAACTCTCATAAATAAAAAACCTCTATAAAATTTCCTTGTCTCATTTACACCCAAACAGAGTCAGAAACCTGCTCCTGCTGCATGGTCACCTCAGCTCTGAGGAGCCACAAACTCCAACTGTTTCAAAAGGATGGGATTTCAGAGTGTTCTCGTGCCAGGTTTAGGCTTGTTTTGTTCCAGAAATGACAATTTTGGGTTCAAAGGAGCCCAAACCCTTAGGGGAACTTACATCTTGCCCTTGAGCTCTGAGCAATTGTACTGCATGATCTCGTATCAGCTCAAGTCAGAGCTCAAATCACTTAGAAACATTCATACTTTAAAAAAAAAAACAATTGAATTCCAGCTTTTCTGCAGCAAAGCCTGCAAAAGAGAGTTTCATGTCGTTCCAAGGCCCGTGACAACCCAAACCCTCAGATCTCTCTTTTCACTGCCTTCAAAGAGCCCGGGCAGAGCCAGTCCCGCTGCTGGCAGCCAGGAGCAGCCCTCAGCCCCCTCTCACCATTCTCAGGTAGTTCATGAGGCTGGTGCCGTGCTGCCAGATCTGTGCTGAGCCGCAGGACAGGGGCTTGACGCCGATCTCCTGGCTGCGGTTCAGCTCCTGCACCGCCGTCACCACCGCGTACACCGCGTCGAACAGCAGCGCCGAGGACAGCTGCGGGGGAAAGGCGGGGAAAAGTCAGCTTGGGGCACGAAAATCCCCCCGTCCTGCTGCACCTCGGAGCTGGAGAGTGTTCTGTGCACAGCCTGGGTCAGCTGGGGTGGCCTTTGTGTGAGCTCGTTTCATCCATCGCTGTCGTCTCTCTCTCTCTGCTCGTCCTTGTTGCTTCCCAGTCCTTTCTATCTCAGTTTCTGCAGTTTTCCTTTCCTAATTGAGGCAGGTTTTTCAGCGTTTTGGTGGCTGATCAGTCTGCTGGCTAGGGGGAATGCTCCTGAGAGAAGCAGGAATTTCCAGGGGGAATTGCTCCTGAGATCCAATGCCTGCTCCCACAGAAGGAAACTTGACTGTGCTGCTTCAGCCATCATGGGTGGCCTTCTCTGACCACTTCATTGACAAGCAGACCCACAAGAAATGATTGCTAGATCTGCATGTCCAGCAGCCAAATCCTGCCTTTCAGACCCCACAGAGATCATCCATCCCTCGCTACAACCTCCAGTTCCCTGCTGGAGCAGCAGGGAATGTCCAGAGTGTCAGAGTTCATCCCTTCTCCTGCTCACCTAGCCTTTGGTTGCCTTTCCCCAGGTTTCTTTGTCCACCAAGCCACACAACCCCCTTTTCTCACTCATGCACAGCAGTTTCCATGGCTGTGGGCTCGTTAACAATCAGCAATTTTCTTCCTCGTGCTCACTGTTGCAACTGAGATTTCACTTTTAATTACTGTCACCTCCTGACTGCTGGAATTAAGCCGTTGCAGCTCATTACTATCAAGGCTGCATTTTCCTCATGGATACTTCCAAGAGCATCCTCTTCCCATCCCAGCTCCTGGCAGAGGGTTCAGTCTCCAGCCTAGGGCTGCTTCCCCCACCTTACCCTGGCTCTGACTTCCAGCCCTGCAGTGGCTTCTGTATCCTCTCCTCCTCCCAGAGCCTGAACAGGTTTGTTCACTGCTGCCAGTGGCCCTGCAGGGACAATCTTGCCCAGCTCAATGATCCCAACAAACCTTGGGCTTCCACTCTGTTGCTAATTTTGACTTAATCCTGCTTGGTCTTACTTAGACGGGTGGTGAGACCTCACTGACCACCCTGGTGTGGGATTAGACACTTGAAAAGCAGCAGAAAACCCTCAAAATCTACAAGCAATCCTAAATTAAAAGGCAGGATTCCAGCCTGTTGGCATCAAAACCCCAAACACCAGCTCTGACAACACCAGTGACCTTTCACTCCTCCAACCTGCTGAGGCTGACCTAAACATTCCCCTCCTGGAGAGCCTTTTCCAGAGATTTCTAGAGAAGCTGATAAATTCTTTTCTCCTTCTTTTATCCCTTTAATACAAATTCTTTTCCTAACAGGGCTTCTCCAGCCTGCCCTGTCCTCAGCCCCTGCTCCATGAAGCTCTTTCCATGCACTTAATTTTAATTATGAATTTAATCCTGTTCAGGTTACAGGATCTCACACCCAATTTGCAATTCCTTTCCTGAATCAGGAACCATATTAACATCATGTGGACAAATCAAACTGTTATGAGACCAAACACAAACCCTGCAACCCCCAAGTCTCCCCCATTTCCTACCAAATCAGAATATTGGCCCAGCATTTTTAATTTTCTCCTGCTGGGTTTCCATTTCCATTTTCCCTGAGCAGTTAATCCCTTATTAGATGGTGAGCAAGAGACTTGTAGATCTCAGTGAAGCATTTGACATTATTGATTGGAATGTTTTACCCCTGAACTCTGGAAAATTCATTAGGATTTCTGCCATCATCCTTTATGATTTCAAGCAATTTAAGTGCTGGGGAGGGTGTGGAGATACACAGGATCAAGTTCTTGTGGCATGCAATAGGAATCCCTTCCCTGCAGCCTGACTTTGCATGGAACAGAGGTGAACCACAAAGTTTTGAGGCCATAACCTTCAGCAGAGAGTGAAAAGAGACTTTTGGAGTGTCCTCCAGGCAGATCCAGCCAGAGGGATCTGTCCCTGACCTCCTCTTTCCCCATGTCACCTATAAAAACCTCTCACTACTTTTATATTCTCATTTTAAACCACAGCTTTGTCCCTGTGTCACAAAAAAACCAATTTGCCTGCTAACAAATTGATTCTCTCCCTTGCCTGCACCATCTGATTTGTGCAGAGCCCTGTTGGTTTTGTGCCCTTCTGCAATGTCAGAGCTCCATGGAAAATCCATGGGGCTTGGGGGACTTTCCTCAATCCCCAAATTCTGGACAATTCTTGATACTGAAACATGAACAGGTTTGGGTTTTGCCATGTGGGGTTTTTCTTCCCTCCCTAAAACATTATCAGCTGTATCTTTGCCCCCAAACCAAACATGGGGAATTAAAGCCATTAAAACCCTGTGAAATAGACTTTGCAATCTGGATTTTATTCAATGACATAAACACTTAATTACAAACATCTGTTTTAGCCTAAATTCTAATTACCAAATCTAGCCATCTGTAATTTGAATGATTTTCTCTGATTTCCTTTCTTTGCAATGTGATTAATGAGAATGGCATTGGAGCACTCCTTTGTCAGATGCTTCCTCAGCTCCAGCAAGAATGCCCTGGGATTTTTGCAGCTCACAGGAAACCTCCCTCCTGTCACTTCCAGCTGTTGAGCTTCTTTTTCCCTCTTTAAGATGAGTTATCCCACAGGATCCTTCCCAGGGCTGTACAGATTTCCAACAGCAGAGGCAGAAAGGTCCTGGATTCACCTCACAGACAACAGAAACTGCTTGGGAATATTCCACCTCTGCTCTGTAACTTCCCTACCCTCAAATCCTTCTCCCATCACCTGGCCTGTGCCATCTTGAAGAATTCCAGTCTCTCCAGGCATCCTCCCACCTAGAGGTTTTGCTGGATGCTCAATACAACACGGGGTAAGAACCTAAAATGAGAATTTTCATTTCCCTGTCGCACCTGCAGGTGGTTCCTTCTGTTTCCTGTTTGCACTAGGAGGAGGCAATTTGTTTTTAATGCCTCTCAACAGCCCCTGCAATCCAAAAAGGAATCTTCCTGCTAGAAATCCCGTGGAGACTGAGCAGGGCAAGCTGATTGCAGCTGCCTCTGGCTGGGAGGGAGAGCAGGATGGTCCCAGGCACAGGATCTCAAGTCAAGCCAAAGGACGTGGACACAAAGGGCAAAAAAATCTCCTTATTTTGCCTCTTAAGGCTCCCTTTGTGGTGACAATAAGGAGGTTTTCAGCAGCTCAGCTCGTCAAGGGGCTCTGGGTTCATTAAAATCCATGCAAAGGGTTCAGCTGATGATATTTTCCTCTCTCTCTCTGTCTCTCTCTCTCCTCTCACAGCTGCAGCTCTGCTGTGGCAAATCTGCTTTGCAAACTCTCCCAGTTGTGGAGAATCCCTGGGGAATGCTCCAGTGCTGACGTGCACACTCCTCACACTCCTCAGGGAGCTGCTGCAGCACAGAGCACAGCTCGGCCCCTCGGCATCTGCCCGACCCAGCCCCTCCTGTGCCATCTGCAGCCACAATCCCCCTCCACGAGCCACTCTCCTGGAGTTTAAACACACAGGGATAAACTTCACGAGGGAAAAAATGAATCAGAGCTGCATCATCCCCTGCACCCACAGAGAAACACAATCCAAATCAAGATTAGGCTGGAATTTAAAGCTGGGCTCCCAGTCCTGCACAGAGAAGCTCTGCTAAGCTCTGCACCCCAAGGTCCTTTGGGCAGCTCTGACTTTCAGGGTCACTTTGCTATTTTCCACATCCTCTGTAAATCACAGACTGACAGCTCAAGTCCTCTTCCTACCTACTTAATAAAAATGCTCTGCTCTGGTTCTTCCTTCCCATTCCTGGCCCAGCATCTCCTCATAAAATCCAATCCGAGGTACAACAGCAGCCTGGGGATATCCCTGAGCCCTTCAGCACAAGATTAAATAGGATTAAATAATTAAATGGTTTAATAATTTAAATAACTTTTTAAAAAATTATTTGAGACCAGAGTTTCTACCCCTGAGTTGCTCAGGACCATCCTGAAGCTCTTCCCACAAGGTTTTTCCGTGGTCTATCAGAATTCCCAGCTCAGGGAGGTTCTGGGGGATGGGAATGGACTTTACTTACTGCAGGCCCAGTAAAAGGAGCGTGGTCACAGTTCTCCTGCCAGGACTGGTTGAGGCTCTGGACGAACTCTTGGAAGAAGGCATGAGACTGGTTGAAAATGGAGAAGCCCAGGATGTTGACTCGGTCGTCCAGCAGGCTGTCCAGGCGCTGGAGGGAAAACTCCTACAGCAGCCCAAAGCAGAAAATGGGGTTAGAGGGGCAAACAGGCACTGAAAACTTCAAAGCCACTCAGTGCCCTTGAAGGGAATGGGAGCTGTGAGATCCTGAAACCCACTCAGCTGCTGGAAGGGAGAGCCTGGGTTTTACCAGGATTTGACTCAGGGCGCTGCTCACCTCAGGCTTTTAATGAAGATATCAGCCAAGTCCAGTGCTTCACCAAAAAACCCCAAACTCTCAAAAGAGGGTGTCACCCACCTGCTGAGTGAAGCTGCTCCATCACCACATCCAGTTTGGTGACACCAAGTTTCAACTGTTCAATTAAATCAGTTCTCTCCCCACAGGAGGAGGAACCAAATTCTACCTAACCCTAAAAACCCCCAACCCTGCACTGCTGCTTTCTGCTGCTAGGTCCCAGGAGGAGATGCCACCCTAATGCCCTGGGGAGGCTTGGAGGGTGCTTTGACTGTGAGTTTTGGAGCTGGGAGCATCCTCCTGCATTTCTGCAAGTGCTAAGAAGCATAAAAACAACTACATTAAATAAATTAAAACAGAGGGCTTGGTTTTGCTCCTCACATCCACGGAAGCAGCTACACAACAAAGCCTGGGGAAAAGTCCAGCCCTCCTTGTCCTGTTAGCAGGGAATAATGGCACTTTCCTCACTAATTTCTCTTCTGCTAATTGCTGAAGTGGAGTGAGAAGGTGGGAGTGACACTTCCAGCAACTGCTGGATGCCCATCACGGATCCAGCTGTCCCTGGGCTCCCTGGGAGATGAAATTACAGCAAGTTGAGCCATTTTGTATCTTTGCTGTGCACACAGGAGCAGTTCCTGTTGATCTCCCAAACATGGGACTTACAAGACTATTCCAGCCCGGCCAAGACCCACGGGAATGCCATCAAAGGCAGGATGAAGCACATTTTGGACACGTTAACGTTGGGTAATGTGAAATTGCCTGTGAACTATTGATTCATTTGAATGATATTATCCCCCTGCCTTGCTGACAGGTGATCCATTCACCCAGGGCATCCTGTCAGCCCCAGGGCAGATGGCTGATGAGGAGCTGGGCATGAGGAGAGGCTGGCTGCAGCCAGAGCAGCAGGAGGGATCCTAAACCCCTGTAAAATCCTCTCTCCCCGCAGCTAGAGCCTCCAGGCAAGTCGTGCAGGGCACCGGGCTGCCCAACTGCCCTCTTGGCTTTGGGATATCCAGGAGGAAAATGAGATGTTTTGTCACAAAATCCAAGGTTTCATCTTGTGCCAGCCTGCCCCAGCCTCAGGGCAGGTGAAATTAGTGTGTTTATTTATTTATTTATTGTGCCTTTTGTCCCCTGAAAACACTTCCAAGCTTTTGAAGTGGAAGGTTTTGTTATGCTCTGATCTTTTAATGAGCAGTTACTGGATGAGGAGATGAAGGGGTGTCAGTTCATGTGGGGAAACTGAGGCAGGGGTGAGATTCACCCCAGCTAGGCACAGCCACAGGGCTGAACCCACAGGTCCTGCTGCCCTGAGTGGCTGAGTGCCATGGTCAGAACCAGCCCCCTGAAGGGATCTTTTCCCACTTTCCCTGGGTAAATTCCCTGCACTGAGGCAGCTGCCAGGACCGTGTGCCTGCAAACAACCACAGCCAGGCCCCCCAGAGCCCATAATCTGCTCTGGTTCAAACATTGCCAGCAGCTTTGCCCGGCTCCCATCACCACTGGCTGCTTTGTGCAAGCTTTGGTCTTTTCCCACAGCCAACCCTCTCCAAATCCATCTTTTTTCCAGCTGCAGAAAACCCCATTCCTGTGGCTGTCACGTCCATAAAGCATCACTGTGACACACAGGGGTGGCATGGCCTAGACCTGGCCCCTTCCACCCTGCTCCCTGTCCCTTCCCTGTGCTCCAGCTCCAATTTTTGGCCATTAAATGCCTTTCCATCAGAGAAGCAAGAGCCGGGTCAGGAGGAAATGAGCCGTGAGCTGCCCATGCAATGAGATGGAGATAAACCACCCCAGGGGGACACACTTCATTTGCAGTGGGATAAGAGAGATTTGGTAAGGTCAGGCTTTGCTGCAGAGGGCAGAGGGGTGAGAGCATCCCCATACTCCCAGAGCTGCCAGCTCAGCTTCTGTCCCTATTTGTTGGGGCTTTTTTTTTTTTTTACCCTTTTTACACTCATTCACCATGCTTGACATTTCCAAATGCACGTTTTGCAAACAAAACCTCGCTTGCTATTCCAGACCTGCACCTCTCAGCTGATTTCCCACCCGTCCTGCCCTCCTCCCCCGCTGCAAGAGGCAAACACAGGCAGGACAAGGGGTAGGACACCCCTGATCTCAGGGGTATTTTCAGCTGCAGAGCCCAGGATTTCTCTCTGAGATGTAGTGAGGGATATCCCTACACAAAACACTTTCCCAGATGCCTTTCTCTCCTCCTGGAATTATTCTCCCTCATCCTCAGTGCTGGCTGGAGCTTCTGCAGAAGATTCTCAGTGCAATAAGAGCAAAGAGCCATTAGGAAAATAACTGACATCCTGTTTAGGAGGGGACTCCAAGCCTCCTCCACCTGTGCAAACACAGCTTTATAACCACAGGCTTTCAGAAAATGCCATCAAAATGATGGGTGCAAACAGCAGCTCCCTCATTTCCTCCCATTCTGGTTTTTTTTATCCCTCTACCTACATTGGAGGAATTGCAGTAATTGCCCAAAACTTGGCCCTCAATCTCAGTCCAACATGAGGCACAGAGAAGACCACCAGGAATCATGCCAAGGTGAGTTTCAGAGACACAAATCCTGCCTGCCTGAATTCCTCCCCCTCTTTCCACTCTGTTTTTTAAAACACCCACCACGTGTCAATATTCTGTTTCAAGAGAACTCGGTAAAAAATTAGACCCGGAGGATCTGCAGCCAAAATTAATGAACTTTTTTACAGAAAGAAAAATCCCCAGGCCTTGCTCCGATCACAGCAAATTCAGCAGCAGGCACCAGCAGGCAATTACAGTGTAGGTTTTCTGACTGCTACTACAGGGCTGCAACCACGAAATGTGTGCTGTTAAATAACAACACTTAGCAATTCCGTGGCATTCTATATTTTCCCGAGTGCTAGGCACACAATTAGCTAATTGAATTCCACGGGGTTCCCTGGGAGACGGCGCTGGAGGAGTTATTAGAGGATGAAGTCACTCCCTGGCTTTCTGCAGCACTCCACCTGCACTCTTCACTTTCCAGCAGCACACAAACCCCCTGCAATGACCCCAGCACTGAGGGCACGGGAGGAGCTGGCTAATAAAAGCCACAGAGGTGAGCTCTGTGATCCTAAAGCCCTGAGATGGGATTTTCCAGCCTGGCTGGGTGTGAGGTATGAGCAGGTCTGCAAGATCCACTCCCTGTTCTTTAGGGACATAAAGCCATCAGGAACAAGTGATGCTCACTGCAAGTGTGGCTCTGCAGGTCTGGATGGAGGATCAGCCAACCAGGATTCTGCACCCACGGGTCCTCTCCCACCTCAGCTGGCTCCGGGAGTTTGGGAGGGAATTGTCCCTCCTGCCCATGTCAGTGTTTGGGAGGGAATTGTCCCTCCTGCCCTGCCCACGTCACTTTGAGACAGCCCAGCAGTGACACTGAGTTTGGGAGGGAATTGTCCCTCCTGTCCTGTCCATATCATTGAGTTTGGGAGGGAATTGTCCCTCCTGTCCTGTCCATGTCATTGAGTTTGGGAGGGAATTGTCCCTCCTGTCCTGTCCGTGTCACTGAGTTTGGGAGGGAGTTGTCCCTCCTGTCCTGCCTGTGTTACTGAGTTTGGGAGGGAATTGTCCCTCCTGAACTGCCCGTGTCACCCTGGGACAGCCCAGCAGTGACATGCTGCTCCTCACACACTGTGGGGAATCCCAGCTGCCTTGCCTGGGAGAAATCCTGCCCTGGAGTTATTCTGCCCAGAATACAGAGGAGGAGACTGAGGTGCAGAGAAAAGCAGCAAGAGATTTACACCTGGCAGCACAGCTCTTAGAAACACAGGGGCATGGAAGGGTCTGGCTTGGAAGGCACATTAAGCAGCATCCCATTCCACCCTGACACCTTCCCAGGCTGCTCCAAGCCTTGTCCAGCCTGGCTTTGGCCACTGCCAGGGATCCAGGGGCTGCCACAGCTGCTCTGGGCACCCTGTGCCAGGGCCTGCCCACCCTCACAGGAAGAATTTCTTCCCAATATCCCATCTAAATCTGCCTTCCTTCACCTTAAATCTATTTCCCCTTCCCCTATCACCCCATGCCCAGGTAAAAATCCCTCTCCAGCCCTCCCCTAGGTCACGTTCAGGCACTGTAAATCTCTCCAAAGACTCTCTCCTCCAGGCTGAGCAGCCCAAAAGAGATGTGGGTTAAAAACCTGCCTTACAAGACAAAACACCAAAGCCAGCATTCATCTATCAGCATCTCACTAATGAGGCTCATCCCAAACCTGCAGCTAAGCAATCAACTCCTAGGCTAAAGGAAACCCCAGAAATTACAGCCAGTTCTTCCCTCACCACTGCCTCCACTGCTTCCCAAGAATAGTGGCTGGAGATTTCAGCATGGAAAGGGAATTTTCAGCAGGAAATTTTCCATGTCACAGCAGCTGCCTGGCAAAAATAAAATGTATTTTAAAGCATGGAGCCACCTCCCCTGCCCTGCCATGCTGGGATGTCCCTCCTGAGAGTGGCTCCTGGAATTTTTTTCCCCCTGCAGCAGCCACTGTGCTGCAGCTCCTGAGCTCCTTCCAGCATTGATTTTGCTGGTGATCCTGTTCTGCAGCCCGTGTGTGTGTGCAGGACCTCAATCCTTATCTCATTTTTAATAACCCAGAGTGCCTGGGCAGTGGGGAGGCAGTGAGCACAGGCTGGGGACCAGCCTAAAGAGGGGATCTTTGACTGTCAGGGACACCCAGACCCTGTCTGAGCTCACCCCAAGGCTCTGGAAGGAACAGGCTTTGCTCAATTCAGGCTGCACCAACAGCAAGATGCCCACTCCATCCCTCCTCTCTCTCTTGCACACAC